AGAAATAACTTGAAGTTGGTGCTGCAACTTTGTGAAGAACTGCCGAGACCACGGTTTTGTGAAAATATCAGCTGTTTGATGAACAGATGGAACATGTTGAACCTTGAGAAGCTTGTTAGCAACTTGTTATCTAATGAAATGCTGATCAATTTCGATGTGCTTAGTGCGAGCATGAAGAACTAAATTATTGGCTAATGATATAGTGCTGAGATTGTCAATCCAAATTGTGGGAAGACATGAGAGTTTGACATGAAGTTCTGAAAGTATAGATTGTAACCAAGTAACTTAAGCTGCTGCATGTGCTATGCTACCATATTCTGCTTCAGTGCTTGACAGAGAGATAGAAGCTTGTTTCTTAAAGCACCATGCAATAAGATTTCGCCCAAGATAAATGCAAAGACCAGTGATAGATTTCTTGTCATCAAGATCACCTCCCCAATCTGAGTCAGAAAAACCAGTTATAGTTGTGCTAGAGACCTTTCTGTAATGAAGACCATGATTAAGGGTACCTGCAAGATATCTTAAAATCTGCCTGACAACCTTGAGATGAGTATTTTGAGGGCACTGCATATATTGAGAGACCTTGTTCACACTAAAAACAATCTCAGGCCGAGTTATAATAGCATATTGCAGTGAGCCAACAATGCTCCTATAAGTAGAAACATCTTCTATTGGAGAGCCACTGGATTTAGACAAGATAGAAGATGTAACCATAGGTGTAGATACTGATTTTGCTTCAAGCATGTCCATTTTTTGGAGTAAATCCTTGATGTACTGAGCTTGAGAAAGAAAAATGCCCTGAGATGACCTGTTAACTTAAATGCCCAAAAAGTGGTGACCTCTCCCTAATCTTTAAGAGAAAAGTGAATGTTAAGGGAATTAATTGTATTTTGAACTTTAGCATCATTGGGACCAATGATAAGAATGTCATCAATGTACACAAACAACCAAACAGTAGATAGAGTGCCCCGCTTGAATTAAAGAGAGTGATCTGAAGTTGAGTGTCTGAAACCAAGTTCATGCAAACACTTTGAAGCTTTAAGAACCAGGCCCTAGGAGCCTGTTTTAGACCATACAAAGATATATGGAGTTTGCACACTAAGGATATATTGTTAGAATCCTAAAAACCTTGGGACTGAGACATATAGAGTTCTACTTCAATAGAGCCATGAAGGAAAGCATTATTGATGTCCAATTGCTGAACTTTCTAGTTGTAATTAAGAGCAAGAGACAGAACAACTCCAATAGTGGTGGGTTTGACCACTGGACTGAAAGTATCATGAAAGTCAAGACCTGCTGTTTGGTTATACCCTCGAGCAACAAATCTTACCCTGTACCTGGCAATGGAACCATCAGAGTTATGCTTAATTCAAAATACCCACTTACAGCCAATAAGAGGTTTGTGTTATGGTAAGGAGATACGTGACCAAGTTTTATCGTCCATAAGAGCATTAAACTCATATGTCATAGCAGCTTTCCATTTGGAATGTGTCAAAGCCTGTTTTAAATCCTTTGGAGCATGATTATCAAGATCCTCAACAAGAAAAGCTTTTGGTTTGAGATTTCCTGTCCTTGACTTTGTAACCATGGGATGAACATTGCTAGTGGTACCTGCAGGGCATGGGATGAACATTGCTAGAGGTACCTGCAGGGTTAGTAGCAACAACAGTAGGATTAAACTCATTCAAAATAGGCAATTCAACTACTAATGGAATGGTGGATTGTGATGATATTGTGTTATTGATGTTTGGAGGTGAAGGAGTTTAAGAAGAAGGAGAATCAGAGGGTGTGAATGATAAAGGAGATGAGGGAATAGGGGTAGAGTTGATGGAGTTTGGTGTGGGATTAGCAAGGACATGGGCAACAGATATTATGGAAGGAGGATGAACATGGACAAAAGGAGAATTTTCAGAAAGAGATTTCCGTGGTAAAGATGATTTAGCAAAAGGAAAAGTGTGCTCATCAAACACTGTATCTCTGGTGATGACTCACTTTCCAGAAGGGAGAAGTGCTTTGAATCCCTTGTGTTTAGAGTTGTACCCCAAAAAGTTGCTTGGTAAAGGTCTAGGTTGAAGCTTGTTTTTGGTGTATGGTCTGAGATTGGGGAAGCACAAACAACCAAAGATTTTAAAGTGTGAATAATTAGGTTGGTGACTATAAAGTTTTTCAAGAAGGGAAATAAATTGAAGGCTTCTGGCAGGAAGTCTTTTTAAAATGTGCACAGCAGTGCTAAAAACATCATCCTAAAAATCAAGAGGAACATGTGAGTAAGTAAGGAGAGATAGGCCCATTTCCACTATTGGTCAATGAAACACACATTAGTAAGAGCCTGACTTAGAGACAATTGGAGATAGCCCCCATAGGTCTGTATGGATTAGTTCAAGGGGTTTAGTATATATAGTAGTAGAGTCAGTATAAAGCAGAGAATGACTTTTGGCTTGGAGACAAGATGAGCAAACAAACTTTTCATTACTTGCAAAAGGAACATTACAAAACTTTAGAACTTTAGCAACTACATCAAAAACAGCATGACCTAATCTAGAAGGCCTCAAATCTAGATTGGTAGTTTTACTGTATAAAGCCATAAAGGAACTTGGATTGAACTGAGGTGATGAAGGTCTGGTTGAAGAGGTGGCATCAGGCTTGAAGGTTTGAGCTTCAAACATGTAGAGACCATCTTTAAGACATCCTCTTAGAAGAACTCGTTGAGTGGTGAGGTCCTTCACAAGGCAAAAGTGAGGGTGAAACTCAAAAAACCATATTGTCTTTAGCAAATTGAGAGACACTGATTAAATTCTTTTTAATGGCGGAAACATGAAGAGGATTTTTAGGCAAGTATTGGTGTTAAGGAATGAACTGCCTATATGTGAAATAAGCAAACCTGGGCCATTACTAACTTGGAGTTTGTTGGTACCATGAAATTTTGAGGCAAGATTCAAATTGGAGAGCTCATTGGTGACATGAATTGATGCTCTGGAGTCAACAAACCAACTACATTCTGAGGCCACATCATAGCCAGCTTGAAACTGAGTAGAGTTGTTGGAAAAAGGTTGAGTTGTCACTGTGTTGGCCTGCATATTTGTTGGCCCTGGGTAGGAAGCATCAAATATGTGATAGCACTTGTCAGCTGTATGATTAGAGAGAGCAAAAACGTGGCAAGAAACTCTTGAGTTGTTTCAAAAACCTTAACCACCTCTTTCTCTTGAGTTACTGTTTCTGCCTCGTCCTCTTGAGATGAACTGATTTCCTCTGGAGAAGGACTGGTTGGAGGAGCCTTTGTTCTGGTTATTAAAGGTGGTTTGACTGACCAGATGTGCAGTGGGATTAGTTCCATCCATATTGATCAAGGGTTGACTCATTTGGTTTGAAAGCTCAAGCCTTGATTCAAAACATAGCAACATTGCATATAGCTCATTCAAGGAGTATGGCTCCACCCATGTTGTCACTTCTACAACAGCAGCATTGTATTCTTCTCCTAAACCTCCTAAGATGTGCAAAATATGATTTTTCTCGGAGACAGTCTTCCCTGCTGTGCCTAAGGCATCACAACATGATTTGACTTAACCTAGAAACTCTCTCATTATCTTCCGTAGCTATAGCTGATAGTTAAGCTGCCACTATGGATATAAGGAGGCTTCCCTTTTTCAAGGTTTGAAGTTGAAGCTTGTGGTGCATAAGACTAGCTTTGGATTTCCCTGAGAAGTTAGATTCTAGGGATTGCCAGATTTCTTGAGATGTATTTTTACCAACCATCATCACAAACAGATTGTCTAAAAAAGAGGAAAGTAACCAGGAAGCAAGTAGCTGGTCTTGTCTAACCTATGAGATATACCCTGGGTTCACTTGGATTTGAGCTGTGGTTTCTGAGGTGGTTGTTTGAGATGGTGGTGTACTTTCCTTATAGATGAAGTTCTCCAACCCATAGCCTTTAATGGCAGTGTGAACTTGTTGTTTCCACAACAAATAATTGTTGTATGTCAGCTTGATAGAGACCAATTGATGGTGAGGTTGAACCAGGTTATTTTGGGTGTTGTTACCAGAAGCAAGGATATTTGTTTGGCTGGATGAGGAATCGGCCATTTCTGCAATCCAAAGAAAAACATATGCAATAAATGACGTTGCAGAGAAAAAGTTGAGGCAATAAATGAAGAAGACAAGCTGGGTAAAGAAACAAAAAAAGTGGCAGTGGCTAGAAAATGTGTCTCAAGCTCAGGTTATGAACCTGAGCTCTGATACCATGATAGAAATGGTGATCTTCCAGCCATTAAACAGAGGTTGAACAGGGGACAAACATTAAAGATAAAATGCATATTTTCAGATGATTAATTGCTACACAAGATGATGCCAACTTTGTATATCTAGGCTATTTCAAAACCCTTAGGGACTACCAGTAAGAAGGACACGTGCATGAAGTACATGCACACTAAAAGTCAAGGAAACGGCTGGCAATGCAAGTAAGCTGCAGTATAAAAAATAACAGAAAAGATCCCAATTTCTTAACTATGATTAGGGAATTATTTTACTACTCTAATAAATAACAAGTAAATGATGAGTGAATGAAATTGAACAAGATATTGTACAATTACATACCGGTTATTATAAAAACGAACTTCATGTCTATCTATCTTAATTATTAAGGGATTTTAACTATTCCTTCCTTCCAAATCCTCCCATTGAAATTAATGACGGTACATTTGATTATAAATATTTGATTTTGACGGATAAATTTTACATACAATGTGAATTAGAAACCACCATGATAATTAAACGAATATCCCTGGTATTAAAAAAAGAAAAGGGAAAATAACGTAAATATAATTGAAAATAAAAGACACTCTGACCAAGAACATAGCTCCACAGCTTGACACTACCGACAGTCCCTTCTTCTCCTTCGAGCACCTGAACTCTTTTAAAGACCGCTGGATATACCTTGACGAGGTCGTTTATGTTATACTTAAAGAGGTTGTAGAATTTTTCAGGTGTACTTTTAATGGGTGAGGTGGCCACAAGGGTTTCTATCACGTTTGCCAAAATTAACTTGCAACAGATAGATATTGCTTTGGATATTCGTGCACTTATTTTCTGACTAAAATCAGCTAAATTTATAGTAGCCAAAAACAGGGGAGAATTATTAATTATTGTTACTTGGTGTGTAAATTAATGATGTAACCTTTAATTAGAACCTGTCTAAAGGTCTAATAATAAATGAAATCAGGAAAATCTCTGCTAATGATTCGATGTATACATTATATGATATTGTATAATTGATTAATTCATAGTGTGGGTCGCGTTATAATTGCTGATGTCTCACTAAGATGTACGTATATTTAAATAAAGTGTTCAACTTATATGACAGTACAATATATACAATATATATAGTAGAGTTGTTTAAATATATGAAAAAAATAATTAAATCAAGATGAATACATTGATTCTATTTTCTTAACTGTGTGGAAAAATAAGAGATCATATATTTCACATGCCGCATACCTTTTATTCTTTTTCCTTTCAACATATATTCTAAGAAAGTTAGGGAAAATTTCAAAATTAGTCTCACAGATATAGGGGTGACAATTTTGGTCCCGACGGAATGCACAAAATATGAATAGTCCCACAACTTGATCAAAAGTAGGACTTTTTCGCCGGATTTACTATTTCCGGCCCGGAGCGCCTCGTGGCGTACACGTGGCGCATACGTGGCGCACACGTGGCTTATTTTTTACACGCTGACATCCGACGTAGATAGGAAAAAATTCAAAACTAGTCTCACAAGTATAGAGGAGTGACATTTTTGGTCCCGATAGAATGCAGAAAATTCAAAACTAGTCCCACAACTTGTAAAAAAATATGAACACGTCAGATGCCACGTGGCGTTCTGAGTCGGAAATAGTAAATCCGGCGAAAAAGTCCTACTTTTGATCATTTTTTAAAAGCTGTGGGACTATTCATATTTTTTGCATTTCGTCGGGACCAAAATTGTCACCCCTTATACCTGTGGGACTAATTTTAAAATTTTTCCAAGAAAGTTACATAAGTGAAATAATTAAAACTCACCTGGAGAAAATATCAATATGAAAGCTAACTAATGCCTAGAAGGGTAAAAAGTATAAAAAATTCATATAAAATTAATTGGGCATATATCATCATGCTGGCGACTGACTAATCCGAGTGCTGTTGGCATGGGCGATGGCCATTTTAACATACGTTTACATCGCTCTTTATTGGGTTTATTTATTTATTGATGTGACATATTTAACAATTATAAATCCATTTACGGAATAAAACGTAAACATGACGAAATTTGCATTCGTTACTAAACAAAAGTTAAGAATACAAAATTGAATGTCTGAATTATTGAAAGCAAACGTGAATTATGCCCACCGGTGAATAATGTACTTTAAGATGGAAGATTGAATAAATTAATGGATGCATTATTTGAATGTCGGATTTTTAACAAGTTGCTGAAGATTTGCTTACATGCATTATTAGTAAAGGTATATACAATTTCGTCTTGTATACGTTAAAAGCTATTACTATTTAGTTCTCGGTTGTTAAAATTATGTTACAATCTGAGTGATGAATTACACATAAATATAAAGTGAAGTGTATGGTTCAGTTTTTACAAGGTGAACAAAAAACAAAAAATAAGATCACAAACCGAAAGAGGAAAGATTAAAGTTTAGGTGGTAGAACAACAAATAAAGCGGACAATAATATCTCTACAACGAATATGACAAACACTACTACTAACGAAAATAAGCGAACAGAAATAAATAAAATACGATAAAAGAA